AAAAAAAAAAAAAAACATAAAAAAGTAAAGCCATACTATAGCATACATTATGAAAAAGTTTTTTAGGAAAAACTGGAAGTGTTTTTACAGTAGCATACATTATGGAAAAGTTTTTCGGAAGACACCCGACAACTATAATTTCAAAAATAGCTTTTTGCAAGACAAGCTCAGAAAATCAAATGAATGCAAGGACAAATGTTGTTAATCATCAATTATATGGTGGTGTCGTCCATTTAGTCTACAAGTTAACCAATTTCCAATTGCCTTACTATGGCATCAAATAAAATCGAACACCAACTTCCAAGATTGAGTTTCTTTATCCAAAACCAAGATTAGAAGCCTACCCATTGCAAGACTCTAGTAATATATTACTTCAATACGACTATCCAGCTTTTGGAGCACAGGGACCTTCATATTGTTGGACTTAACTGCAAAATGGGGAGTGAAGGAAAATCAGCCTGTGAGGTAGACTCTCACCACGAAATCAAACACGCGTACTCTTTTCACTTTAGGCATCACGTGTCCAAAGCTCGTTAGACCGATGAATCCAGATAAATAGCGAGTAAACCCACTTAGGGTAAAACCGCTCCCTACTAAGAATATCCCATGGACTCGAACCCGAGACCTTTGATTAAAGATAAAACACTAGTTCTTCAATATAACTAAACCAATACATATATGAAAGATGGAAGTAACACCTTGCCAAGAAAGGAATAAATCTCACTTATGTTTCAGCATAATTCAGGAATTGGAATGTGTGCGCTGTACAAAGTTAGGGCCTAAAACTCACTGCAACTTCCCATATAAGCTTCTCCACTATACCACTTTCACCTAGCTCACTCCACAGGGGCCGCTACAGATGCTGCTGAGGAAATGCAATCTAGGCTCCTTGTGATCCCAAGAAAGAAATACAATTCAATAAATACAGCTCTACAATTTAACATCATCAGGAAAACCCATATTTACAAGAAAACGACTCTAATTCCATCACAAGTATAATACAGTTTGACGAATAACTCCACTCCTTGATCATTGTTCTGAGGGTGAAGTCAATTCGAGAGAATTCCGCCACCAAGTGCTCAACCAGTTGGGTCAAGTAAGTAGTTGTACCGAAGAAATCAAGAAAATCTGAAGTGTGCAGACATCAGTAGGGAGTAAGAGTGAGACTTCTTTGAGTAGCAACAAATACTGATGTGAATTTAGAGTAAATATAGACCTAGATATATACACATTTGGCTAGATAACTGATGCATACCTTGATTGACACATGTTTAACAAGAAGGCCATGCATCGTCATAACGAGGATGTCAAAACACGGTGGAAGCGTGCTACTCTCGCCTGGCCATGCCACAATAATCTGCC